TCGCCATCGCACAGTGTGGGCAATTAATACATGGCCACCAGGAACCCTTCTGATTCATTCTACCTTTTTCAACCTCTCCTTCCTTCTTTGTCTTCCTGTTTAAGGAGCTTGGATTAACAACCTTCCTGTCAGCCAACTCAAAAGCCGCCACCATAAACAACCACCATCTTTGTCCCTCCGCATCGGCTGGGATAAAGATTCTTCTCGCATTCTTTTCCCCCACTTCCGACAAGACTAAGTAAGGACCTCTCCTGTTTCGCCCGAACAAAATCCATAGATCTCTTTTATGCCCCACATGGTGTCTTGCCCAACTCAAACCGTTCTTATTCTAGTAGAAGTCCCCCAGGGCATTGAGGAGCCAGTCGACTTCCGCTTTTTCGAAATAGATCGACGTTCGAAACCCTCTCCCATTCTCATAAACCCTCATTCCATCCATCCCCCTCCTCTCACTAATCAAGTCGAAAAATTTATTATCGACGTACAAATATTTTTGGCCATTCTAGGGAGCCATTAAGGCCCCAGGGGCGGCCGCGAGCCGCAAGGCACAAGGCCAAGCCTTAGCACGAAGCCGCTTTTCTCTCTCTAACGTGAGGAGTTCAGTTTAAAATAACAGGAGAGACTACGAGTTATCTTATATATACACACACATATACATCCAACTCAATTGAGAATTTATTAATTGACAAATATTCCTATTCATGTAAGATCCAACAATCTCTTACCACAACAACAAAATTGTCTCTCAGTGATTCCTCTTCTAATTCTTCAAAATAATGCTTAAATACCTGCATTGCCAGCATTCATGAAAATAAAGGTCCAAGTACTGAAAACCCTCATAATTTAAGAGCAAGCTTAACTTTATTAGAACTAAACCAAAACAGAGTTATGTAAATCAAGGAATGCACTTACATCAACTACACGGTGAAGAAAAAGCAACAGACTGGCAGCATTACAGTTCTGCCTACACGCAGTCATCAAGTAAATATTGTTGTGTTGTATAAACAGGTAAGTTACACCATCATCACAGATGACTGGATTTTGAGACTGTGGATCCATCTGAATCAAAATCAAATGAAATTTAGTCCCACAATTTAAATTCAACAAAGAATCATTTATTCGTATACACCAAAAAAAGGAGAGAAAGACAAATAAACCAACTAAAGGTCACTGAGTTAAACTCTCTACTGCGAACTCTAAATAACTATTACAGATTAACACTGACTCGTAAAAAATTAACTATAACCATAAAAATGATCAAAAAAAAAAAAAAATTAAGGAGCTGTAACTTTATGATAAATGTTCTAGTATTTAGCTTATACAGATAACAAACAAGCAAACAGCTAATTAACATTTAAAACCATGACAAATCAATAGCTCATCCAAAGCAACAGAGATTTGCCTTTGGCTTCGTCTATATAAACTTATAAATCTATAGAC